AGCTGACAGGAAAACATTCAGACCCACTTACCAAAACTTCTACTCTGCCCAGCAGGCACCCAAAAGCCAGAAGCCAGGCTGCCTTTCAGCAAAGAGCTGAAAGCAGAGGTGAAGTGTAAGTGGAATGTAACAAAACTATAGAAAATATTGCTTCAGCACCCCCCTTTGATGCTGTCTTGTCCTCAAGACTGAGTGCCATTGAAAGGAAGAAAGTTAAATCTGTCCCAGCTGAAACCAGGACACTGATAGATATCAGATAAGTTTTGTGTCCCCTGCAGCAAAAACCCAAATGATGTAAATTGTAGATTGACAGGGTAGTAGCTACTTTAAGACTATCTTCACTCTATAACAAGGGAAAACTGACTTTTTTCTTTTCCTTGCTGTTTCTCTACTTTTATTGCTCTGATTGCATCAGTGCCTCTTCTCCCTTGCTTTGGACTGCAGATCAATGACTTTTTTTCTTACTCCCAGATGTTGCTTGTAATGTTTAGCCTATGTTTTCAGACTGGTTTGGATATCTACTTTCTGGTGCACTAAGTCTGTCTCTAGGGCTCCCAGTATCAGATCAAAAATACTATGTCCACATAATAAAAGCATTGATACAGTAAAATTTGCTGGTTCAATGTTGTTAAAATGGATAGATTAACCTTGTGCCGGCAGGCTTTCTCACTGATCAAATATCATCTGTCCACACCTTTATGTTTTTTCTAGAACATGTATGTCTCCTCTTTGCACGCAGCATAAAACCAGCATGGTTGGTCACCTGGCTGGGGTGACAGGAGTGCTTTGAATTGCTGCACAAGCCAAGCTTAATTAAAGCTTGCACTGAATTTCAAATTAGGGGCCGAACATCCTACTCGTGGCTGAATGTGACCATGGTTACATCTATTAGGCCATTAGCTGTGTGGACTGCATATTAGGTATGCTGCTCCTGAGTTAAAATTTGATTACGTACAGCATTCAGAATAATTTTTCAGCCTGGGATTGTGCTACTTTCAAACACATCCAAATGGGTATTTAAGCCTTATCTTCAAATATCAGACCAAAAGGTGTGCAGGTTTTTCTCTTAGGCTAAAAAGCTTGTGGGAATTTCTAGTCTGCTTCTTAGTAAAGAGCTTTGATTAGCAGGAAAGAAATTCTTACTTTCTAATAAACTTGATTTTTTCCAACTAATGGTAAAATGTTGATTACAAACAGAAATTGAATATTTTCCTCTTTCTTGTGTAGTGTTTAAATGCCTAACCGCTTCACGGCTCCTAATGACAAGCAGGATAAACTTCCCCTCCCTGTTTGTCAGTAATCGGGATACAGATTTTTTTTGCTCTGGTTTTGACCACAACATAGTATCTATGACATGTGTCATTGTCATACATCCACTCCTGTTTTCTTTCTCCTGCAGGCCAGGAGCCAGATTTGGCTCACTGACAAACCACGAAGGAGTCTGATAGCTCCATCTGGCACATGGTTCATGGGGTAGAGGGAAAACAATGATGCCTTGTCCTTCCACTACATGAAATGCAAGCTCAGCAGGAGCTCATGAAAACATCTGAAAGCAGGTGCCTTGTGCAGTGCATAAGGATGCTGATGCTGAACAGCAAGTAACAGGTAAGGATCAGAAAGCACAATCTGAGCCTACTGGTTTGCCAGACTGAATTTCCTGGCTGGTCAATAGACTATCTTCCTTTCCATTTGTCAGTGCTCTCTCCTTGTCAAAAGGTCTTTGCACTCATCCATCTCAAATAACCATCTATTGTTTTTTTCTTTTTTTTTCTCTTGGCAGTTTTTCTTTCCACTGGAACTGAGCAGCACCAACTTTTTTTATCCAGCCTTTGTTCCTTCACAGTTTTACACTTGACTTTTAAATAATTACAATTAAAAATTATCCTCCATTTTCCCATAACAGATTTCATTTTCTCCACTCATCATAGACAACTGGACCTTAAAATCCCCACAGAATTAGTAAAAAGTGTTAATTAGCCACATTGAGAGATACTTTCTTTGCTGTGTCATTCAGCTAACAGAATTTTTTAAAACTCACTAATATTACTTGAAACTTTGATTGCTTCAGTGTCAGCAGCCTAGAATTGAAATTTCCTGTGACATCTTCCAAAAGGAAGAAATGATCTTTTGGAGATCAGCCCAGTCAGACCTGAGGAGACCAAAAGTTATTTTGATAAGGTAATATAAACCCCCATTCAATGTCATTGTTTTTTATTTGGATTGTTCCTTTTCTTTGCCCATAAACACACCAGAAAACCACAGTTCATGTCTGTAGGAAGTTTGGTTTAGCATTGCAGGAAGACATCTCACTACTCTGTGTCTGGGGGTTTTCCTTCCAGTAACTATTGACATCTCTATAAAGCACTTAAGGACCTTGTAACGAAAACACAAGTTAGATTCTAAATGCTGTCATTACTGTGCTACTCTACTAGACTGAAACCAATACCTTAACTGACCAAGTTGCAAACTTCAGGGTATACTTAAGATTTAGGGGCATGAGGCAGAGCCCCATGCTAGTTTGTTCTTGAAGCTTTGCTCTATGAGACCCAACTGTGAAGTGATTCCTGGTCATTTATGAATGGGAATCAAGTAAAGTTGGATATTGCTTCGAAACCCCTGTCTTTCATGTTCTTGTGTACAGAAAGCAGTGTGCCTTAGCCACACTGGTCTTATGGTCCACCTAGCATTTGTATACCTTAAATGAATAAGTCTTGACCCACACTCAAATGCAGAGATCCAGTTGTGAGAAATAGATCTCTCATATGGGAGGATGATGCCAACCCACAGGCAGAATGCAAGGGAAAATTGTCAGTCAAAAAGACTAAATTCAACCTACGCACGAACCTCATGAAAATATGATGGCTTTGTCAGATGAACAAGGAAATAAAGAGTGATGGGTTGAAGCACAAGTGAGATGGAAAGTCCCATTAGGTCTTTTTAATGAAGAATTTTGCCCGAATGCAGTGTGTAAGGTGTGGCTGTCTCATGCTTTGGTGTCTCTAAGAGCCACACATGGGAATAGGAATGAATATTTTCTTACTTGTTTAATGGTTTACTTGTTGATATATGGAAAGTCTGATTTCACAACTGCTATCTGAATCACTGACAGCTATTCAAAACAGGACTCTGCTCAATAGTAGGTCAAGAAGGGTGTGTGCTGCTCCTCAGTCATACTCACATTCCTCGTCCAGAGTTTCTCATTCATGCCATTTCACAGGGACTTCCTCTGTTCACCAGCTGCTTCAGAAACTTGTCATATGACAACTCTCAAGGCTTGGATTCTTATTTCTTAACACTGTTCATAAAATCTCGTTTGAAGATAAAAATAGGATATTAAATGTATTTGTGTGTGTGCCTGTCTGCCTAAATATAATTTGGAGGGTTTTTCTGGTTCCCTCTGAGGCTCTACCTCAAGCCTTTCCCAATCCCTGTAGCTTTTCAGTGAAAATTAAAAAATGTATATGGCTCTCCTCTGAGATGGGTCTCTTCTCACGTATGGTAGTTTTGCAATAGCCTCCACAAGAGGAACAGTAAATTAAACAAATTGCAAAGGTTTTCCAAACAGCCAGGCACAGAGAAAAGAAAATAAAATAAAGCAAACAAGTAACATTTTCATGATGAAATCTGTTTTACAAACGTGGCGTGGAAACCAGGGGAATCAGTCAAACAATAGTAAACATCAGCCCGTGGTTAGAAATATTTTTTGAAAAAGCCACTCCTTTTCCTTTGCCCTTTCCGCTGCAAGTTCCCCCACCACAGGCTCCCTGGCAGTGGGACTCGGGGATAATCTCCTGGAGTATCTGAGGCGTAGAAGCCAACAAGATTAGAGCACCTCGTGCTCCTCAGCACAGTCATGTGATGACCTGCTGATCCCAGCAAAAGGCATCGTTTCCCAGCAAAGTTCTCACTTCATTTGCTTATGTGTTGTTCCTGCCCTGCTGGGATTCTCCCTAAGGATAAGGAAATAATTCGCAATGCTTTTAGTAAAAAAATAAAACCAACAAAACCACTCTTACTAACGAAAGTGATAGCTGAAGAAAATGGATAATTCATGTGCAATTTGCCCAGCAGTAAAACTGTTCTCCCTTTGCTTCAAGGGGCAACTTCAAAGGATGTATAACTTCTAATGCCACTCATACAGCTCTGTTAGCTCTGGTCAGGCTAATAGATAAAAAAAAAGTGGGTGGTCTGGAGGCTGCCCAGTAATGCACTGAGTAAAGAACACAGATTTGCAAACTGCCTGATGGCAGAAAAACAGGAGTCAAGGTTTGTTTCCCAGGTCCAGAGAGAGCTGCTTAAAGTGCTTTCTGCAAATCTATTGGCGGAGAAGATTTGGGTGCAGATTTCGGTGTATCACTACCTGTCAAAGAGCTATGGATTCCAGAGGACCAAAAAATTATTTTTTTTCTGAAGAGTTTATCATTTCTCTTGTGAAGTTACTTTGCCATATGCTAGCCTGGGAAAGGCAGGTTGCACTGAAATATAAAAATGCCAAGCCAAACTGTTTATTCTGGTTCTTCTCTATGTTCACACTTAATCTGACCATACTTTATGTCTGACTCCTCTTAAAAAAACAGATAGCTTACCCCCAAACTGTTTATTTTCTCACTTTTAGGTTCACTGTGCTTATTTAACTGATCAGATTCTTATGGGTCTTTTTTTAAACATCCATTTACTCTGAAGCATGTGATCAAACAAGGAATTTGAAGGGCCAACAATTGCCTGTGTTCAAATTTTAATTTTACTTCCTCTCCTATTGCCAGAGGAAAGCAATCATGTGCTAGGCAGAAGATGAAAGTTTATAATAAATGTCTGTATTTTGAGATCTGTAGGGGGTAAGGAAAAAAGTCACTTGGCTTTCGCCCAGGACATGTGATAATCAGATTAACCCTGAAGTGTGTTTTGTGTGGAAATAAATCCAGGGGAGGAACGGGGAAGGACATGGAGGGTGCACTGTAGCAGAACTCAGAAGTGAAGCATTCCTGGTGGAGGGAAGGATCTTCTTTCACACCCAGGACTTTGGAAGGGTCAGAGAGAGCGCTCCATGCACTGAAGTGTAACGCTGATGCTCTCCTGCTGCTTTGCGAGGATGTCCCTGTTTGCCATGGGTTTTCTGCTCGTCATCCTTCAGCCGTCCACCGGGCAGTTCCCCAGAGCCTGTGCAAACACGCCGAGCTTGCTGAGGAAGGAGTGCTGTCCCACATGGGATGGAGACGGGTCCCCTTGCGGGGAGTTTTCTGGCAGGGGGTTCTGCGAGAACATCCTTCTCTCTCAGGCTCCGCTGGGACCACAGTTCCCGTTCTCAGGAGTGGATGACAGAGAGGACTGGCCTTCTGTGTTTTACAACCGGACGTGTCAGTGCAACGGCAACTTCATGGGATTCAACTGCGGGGAGTGCAAGTTTGGTTTCACAGGACCCAGATGCACTGAAAGGCAAGTGAGAATAAGAAGAAACATCTTCCAGCTCACCACCAGGGAGAAGGACAGGTTTCTTGCCTACCTTAACTTGGCGAAGAGCACCCCTAGCCAGGACTATGTTATTGCTATCGGCACGTATGGTCAGATGAACAACGGCCTGAACCCGATGTTCAGAAACATCAACGTGTATGATCTCTTTGTGTGGATGCATTATTATGCCTCTCGAGACACACTCTTGGGTGGGTCTAATGTGTGGCGGGATGTTGATTTTGCCCATGAAGCCCCTGGTTTTCTGCCTTGGCATCGAGCCTTTCTGCTGTTGTGGGAACGTGAGATTCAGAAGATAACAGGTGACGAGAGCTTCACCATCCCCTACTGGGACTGGAGAGATGCAAGGGACTGTGTGGTCTGCACTGATGAATACATGGGTGGCAGACATCCCACCAATCCTAATTTACTCAGCCCAGCATCATTTTTCTCCTCGTGGCAGGTAAGGACAGACAAAGGGGAAGGGGAAAGAAAAGGCTGATTTTGCCAGAATCATCCTACCTGACTTTAGGCACTTAAATGAGGTGCACAAGTTGGGAGCTTAGCCATGCAACATTCCTTTAGATGTTCCTGGAGAGAAAGAAAGCACTACCAGAGAGTAAATCAGATTTTATATGGACTAAATCTTCATTTAGAGCTGTTCTTTCATCCCTTTGTCTCTTCTCTTTCTGACCGTAGGATTTAGGTTGCTTAATTAAGAACCTAAAGTTAAGGTGGAAGGAGAAAAGTTATGTTTTTGCGTCTAAACATGGCCTTTAGAAAGCTAAACAGGCTTGGGTGTGCAGTGGCAGTGAGGTGAGAAAAAAACAGGGTTTATGTACACAAATTGCTAGCATGCAACCATTGCAAGACAATTGGTGACTGAATAATGGAAATAGAAGCAAAAAGTTGTCAGACGCTGTACCCCACTCCTAGTGCATTTTTTCCATCCAAGAGTTAAAAACTATCCAATTAAGCTAATTTGCTTTCAACTTAAGAAAAACCAAACAAATAAATAAAGCAAATCTTTAGAGCACAGAAGAACCAGCTGTGTAATTCACATCAGCATCTCAAAAGAAATATGTTGCTCAAAGGAACTAAGAAGTAAACTGAATAGCTATTCCTGTCACTTAAAAGCACTGCAAATTAGCCTGCAAACCAAGGCAAATTTCCATACTTACACAGATGATATTGTCTTATATAGGTGAACTATCCTGTGCTGTTCTAACACTGACAGCTTCTAGGCTTTTTTTGTCCCTTGCTCATTAATGCCACATCACCTAAATTACAGTGACAAAGGTCTGTTGGCTTCCGTAGACACACTCCATCATGACAATAGCAACAGTCGCTTCTGGCACTGAAGTTTATGATTATGTTGGTGTAAATCTATCTTTGTTCTATTTATTTCTGTAGCAACAGCCTAAATGAAGGTTGGGCAGTTTCAGTGATTTAATGGAAAGTGAAAGAGGTACAAGCTCCAGCAGCTCTGTAATATTCTGGTATTACAAAACAGCAACTAACTGGGCTTACTGGGATGGTTGTAGTGTATCTAGTCTTGATTTGTATCCTCTGAATAATATAGGCTGTGTATATACCTGTAAATTCAAGCATTCCCATATACTATCTATTTTTGGACATTCTCTGTCATATGTTTTGTATGTACTGACTAGCTCTTCCCCAAACAAATACTTGTCAGGGACCATTCCCAGGAGAATGTTTGCGTACAGCCACCCTGCTTGGGAAGCTAAAATGATTTTACTGGCATACACATGGATTATTCCATGCCATTTGGTCTCAGTGCCCAGGAAAATTCCTGACCACATTTAATTTACCAGTGTAGGCATAGCCATAAAACAGATAACAGCTACAAACGTGTATTTTCGTCCCATTTTCTAAGACTCTGCTCATTTCTAACAGTATGAATGTGGATGAATTCTACTTACTTAATTAGATTGCATTACCAGAATGAAGTGGATCTGATGCTGTTCTGCACTGAGCTGAGTAAAGAGTTACGTGAAAATGGTACAAGTGTTAGAGTGGATTAAATGAAACTAGAATTGCACTGGTTACATGCGTCAAGTGGAGCTATCAATACAATATATTGGATGAGATAATCAAGGTAGTAGGAGGCAGATAGTATAAAGGAATCAGCAAGTTGTTAGCAGAATTTTCTAAAAGACCTGGAGAGGTCAGATAGTTATGTTTAGCTCACATTTTCAAAGGTATTATTAATCACATCCAGATTCTTAGAATTTTTCCACCCTGGTAATAAGTACCTAGAAACTTTACAAGTAGTAATGAATATATTTAAGAAACAGTCAGGTTTAAAACTTCTCATTTAAGGTCAGTTCCCACAAACATATTCTGAAAATAAATTTTTAGGAAACACATTGCTTTAACAGATATTTTTTTATAACTTCAATAGGTTTAACAATAAAAACTGCGCTGTATTTAAAGGATATTTAGTGTCTGTAAATATATGTAAGAGCACCTACGTGCTTTGCTGAAGTTTTCCAAGTAATTTCTGAAAATGGGTCCTTATAATTTATTTATTTCAGCCATTTCTGGAAATGCTATGATTTTATTCAAAATTTAGAAAACGACTACAATAACCTTGCCATGAAAGAATATTATTCCCCTTTAACATCTTCTATCTAAGTACATCTCTGCTGACTTATCTAGAGAAGGAATGAAAGAGATTGAACAGATCTGCATTTTCAGTCAGTGAGTTTGGGGTGAAGATACAACACAAACTGATCTTTCTTTATTAGCCTCGAATCCAAACTTAAATAATTGCTTATGTTGGAATAACTTATTCAGTGCGGTTCCTTTGAGTAACACAAAGCAAGAGATCAGAATCTCACTCCAGAAAATCAAAAGAGAACAAAAATAGCCTTAGCTTGAACCGGAAAACAGCCATAGATCTGCTGCAGAATACGCTGATTATCCAAGCTCTGTAGCTAAACAGCAAGAAGGGGGAAAAAAAAAAAAAAAAAAGAGGAGCATCCAGAAATGTGAAGGAATTTAGGTTTTTAATAAGCATTCTAAATGAAAAGAGGGCAAGAGAAACCTTTTGAATAACACATCTATAATATGGCGTCCTTTTTAGAAATTTAAATCTCTTTCCAAAGCATAACAAAACAATGCCTGCTATGTTAGGAAACACTTACAGATTTATTTTTTTTAAAAAAGGTAAAGTGCCTATTTGCAGAACAGCATCTCTCTTTTTTTTTTAATCCCTAAAGAAAGGAGAAAATACTTTATTCCATTGAGAAGTTGCCATGGCAACATGGATACCCATGAATACATGCTGAAATTCTTGCTTTTGCCTTACTTTTTCTTCAACATGCTGCTGTTAACACTTAGCTCAGTGAATTATCTGTCCACATTTTTCTCATACTAGTCATCTAAATGAACCTTCTGATTCCTGCCTCTGTTTTTACCAGTGAGACTATCAGGAATTTTTATTGGTTTTATTTGTTTGTTTGGCTCATGTTTTAGAGTAGGTGGGAAGGATTATCTTATTTTTTCACTTACTTGTTTATGATGATTCAAGTGTTGCATTCAGAACTAGGAGTGCATGATACCCACTAATGCTTTACCAAATTTTGCAATTCCATGCCATGGAAAGCTATGGGGGAAATGGAGATCTTCCATGACATTTTAAGAGGTTTTTTATTGTTTTAGTGCCCATTTCTATAATTATTCAAGATAATGGATTTGCTAAAAAAATAATTATTATGCCTTGCTTAAATAGTAGCAGGTGAAATTCTGCCCTCTGCACCAGAACTAATTTGGAAAAATAACTGAAGTCAGTGAAGTTACAAATGCATAAAAAGCCTTCTGCAAATAAAAGCAGAAACTTTCTGTTGGCAATTAACATTAGGGTTTGGGGATCCCCACAGTGTACTACACAGACTATGAAGAAAATGAAGCAGGAGAATGTAAGTGCTATTTTAGGTTTGCTATTGTGGCAAGCAGGCTATACCACCAACTTTAGCCCCTTGTATTTTGTCTCTGCTAAAAGAAGAGTGACTTGAGAGAAGTAATTGCATAACGTGGAGAGCTGCCTGCTCTCAGATGTGCTGGTGTAAGCCTGCAGCCAATTCTTTGTTGCAAGCCCTGAGAATTTCCCTTAGCACTTCATTCTGTATCACCCTGCAGAACCACCTGCACAAATGCAAAGCTACTACAAAAGGGAAGCAAGTTACACGAACAGAAAATGGTTATAATGCTCCTGAACTAATAAAGACAGTATTTTAGATCCATTACCCAAAAATATGACTTAATGAGAAACACAAAATTTAGCTATTCAGACTGTTATTTAATTCTAAGTATGGTTTATCAAGAAGCTGTATTACTAGCTGAATAGTCTAAGAGGGTAATTTGAAACTCTATTTTATGTCCACCTTTGAAAACTGCAGGAAATTCACAAAAATACAAACACCAGAAACCAACACTTCTTGATTCTTAAATCAGCCAAAGTCTTACTTCCATCTGCTTGTGGATGCCTGAGTATCTCATGAACTCAATGACTTCATTTTTTATTTCAACTTAATAGGCTTTGGTGCCAGCTATAGGCTGGTAAATTAAAAAACAACAGCCCAAATGAAGTAACTAACTGTAAAATAAGAGTTTATTGTGATTGTTCTCCTAATGATATGCTTACACGGATGATAAACATTTCCTGTTACAAAGAGATAAGTCTCCACGTGCCACACCTCAGTACCACAGCCTGAGGAAACCCGTATCTGTGCACAGCAGGAGCAGCCACTGGGGTATCCTCAGCCTCTTTTTGTCACTGTAACCTCAAAGAGATACGCCTTCATCCACGGGATCACGAGTGGGTGACAATAGATTTTGGTCTGTGGTTGCTTGGCTGTTCCCTAGCCTGTAGCCATGCTTGCTCAGGAGTTACGTAGTGCAAAAGACAGACATCTTCAGAGTCGTATAAATTAATAGCCAAGGAACTTCATAAAAATTGGGTTTGTTAATAATTCACCAGAAAAAGAATCTACCTGCAGAGAAACGCGTCTTTGTGAATTTGCAGTAGACATGGAGATGGCAACGCCAACGGTGCAGCTTGGAGACAGCCAGAGAGTAGAGAATCGCGGTCTGACAAACCAGAAAGTGTTAATGAATATTTCAGCAGTATATTTCAGATAACAGATTCCTACTCCACCCCAGCACCATTTTGAGGTGCTGAAGGGGTGTAAGTTACCCCCAGTTCAGAGCTGCCTCTGAGCAGAGATGGAACTCAGCCAGCTTCTACTGACAGCCGAGAAAATACCTTGAAGGCTCTGGGTTTGTTTCACTGCTGTCACTTCATGTTTGTCTCATCTCCCTTTAGCTCAAGTTTCACAACTCCTCCAGGTAATGCTTAAGCTGTAAGGGTCAGAAAGATAATTAAGGACCTTCTCCTTGTACAAAGATGTTTCTTAGAATTTCTTTGAAGCTTTGCTTTCCAAATTTTCTTCTTTTCATTCAGTCCTTTGCCTGTCTTACCTTTCCATTCCTCCTAACATTCAGGAGTACGTGAAGAAACAGATATAAATATACACAATCTATTAAAAACTATTTGGTTTCCTACAGATACAGCACCTTTTAAAGTTCTGCCTATAAAAGCAAGCTCCCAAAGTACAGTTTGTTCTGTTGCAGGTTATCTGGGGGTTTCCTTGCATTTTCCCAGTTTGGTGAGTAAATGGCTTCAGGATGCCACTTAATTAGGACTGGATTATGCCAGGCCCTAATGCAGCCAAAAAAAGTAAAAATTAAATCTCTTTACAATTGCCAAATGTTTTAAATGCAGTGTGAGGGCTACGCTTTAATGCTGTTCCCAAGCAGGGATGTGAGAATAAATGGAGAAAGACAGAGAAAGGCAACGAATCAGTGCAAAATCTCTTTTGGCTGCATTGTGTGACCCAAGGCTCCAGTTCAGGAGTCTAGACTTGATGTAGGACAAATGGAGACATGGGGATGTGCCAAGGAGGGCCAGGATGCCCACATCACATCCTTGGGGGAGCTGGGATGGGTGCCACAGATCCAAGTGTCATGTTTTTGCTCTGGGTGTAGTCTGAAGTGGTTCTTTTAGGCTAAATTAACCTGGAGTATAACACTGTGAAAACATGCTGATATAGTTTCTGGATGAGGTCAGACTCCTGCTCGGTGGTCTCAGAAGAGAAGCAGAGCAAAGGACCAGCTCTAAAGGAAGTACAGGTGCAGATTAACCCTTTGAGTGACCATACTTCCCCAGCAAACTAAGGAACTTCAGATCTTTTTATAAGTGAGCAGCTGTTTCAATACCACAGAAAATTATTCATCACTTTTTTCCAGCTGTTCAGGGATATATTAAATGTATTGCATGTCCCTCTGAGCACAGATTTAATAAGTCTGAAGCAACCACAAAGAATTTGTCACCAAACCCCCAAAACTTTTAATTTAAAAATAGCAGACAAAGGACTGGACACTGCTGAAGACTCCTGTAAGGCAATTCACTTTATTTAGGCACAGGGGTTGGTCTGTGCAAGTAGCTGCAAACTAAAAGACAAAAGGGTTTCCCATTAGCAAAAAGCTTCAGCACTTTTCCAGTGTGTTTTCTAAGAAGTGATACAAAGAGTTGTGCTAAAGATCTCGACTGCAGTGCTCGAAGGGGTTTTTTTGCTGGGTGCTACAAGGACCAGGAGTGATGCTGCGTATTCTGGACTGCCATCTACTGGCGTTTGCTCTTGCTAACTACTTACATAAGCTTCTCCTCCGAGTATCTTCATAATAAGTTCCCTGGAGCCAGTGAATCTATGCATGCAGGGGGCAGGCACTCAATGCAGTTTGAATATAAGCTTTGTCCAGGGTGAACTGACAAATTTGCTCAGGACTGTTCCAAAAGGGAACAAAAAAATCATGTCTTAAAACAGCATGCTTCTAGTAGAAAATACTCCTGCT